ACTCGAGTTCGGAAGAGCTTGAGTCTGCCAACGCTTCTTGACCGGCCCGTCCTGAACCTTGATGTCCCAGCTTTCGTGAGATGCTGGCAGTTTCTCGCGTCTAATTTCGGCCTGGGCCTTGTCATTTCCCCGACGGCCCCGCCACGCTAGCCCGAGTCCCCTGAACCCGGGTCTTACGCCTCCCCCACTGGAGGGAGGAGTTCGGTCGACTGCACGTGCAGCGGGGACGTGCATCACGAGACCGGATGCTTTTGGTCACTGCACCCTCCCAGACATGCAGACGTCGTGGTAAAAATCCCGACGGGAGTTTGTTCTATATTTTTGGCGTCCGGGGCCCCCTGCGGGACCTCGGGACCGTAAAAACATGTCCCAGGATGTGTAGCCAGTCCCCGCGAAGGGGTCCAGACCTATGGGGGCCGACGTTGTGCGAAAGTCATGACGTCAGGGGTCAGGGGATGTGTATCAAGACACTGACTGCTTTTCGGCAGGCTTGGCATCGCTTGGACGCGTGCGTTTTTCTCGGCGAGGACCCTCCAGGAGCATCCTGGATCATTTAGCACACGGGGAAGTGACGGCCGAGCGATGGCAAGCAGGGTGCCTTGGCCTTCTTCCGGCGACCTCCGCGCCGATGTCCGTGGGCCGTCTCTGGCCCCTTGGCAGCCACGTCACAGTGTGGGGTGAAAGGCAGGCGTCCCAGGGCATCGAAGAACAACACACGACATATGCACAATGCACAAGTTTCTTGGCCCCATAAGCAGCTACACCGAAGGTCACATCGGCCGTCATCGCATTCGTCTCCCCACTGCCCGCATGCGATGCCGGCCCCATGTTGGCACCCCCCTCACGCGGTTCTCCCGTCTCACGCGGTTCGCGGCACCAGCGGGGGTTCCCCCTGCATCGTGCCGCCTGCTCTGCAGTATTCACAATTACGTATTGTTCGGTCTTTCGCCAGGGCATCTGTTCCTGTAGAAGCGGGATCCAGCGCTCCAGGGGCCAGCGGCTCCAAAGGATGGGACCGTCAAAAAGCTTTGGTTAATCGTGTGACCCGTTTGGGGCCCTGGGGGTCGTTCCAGTTCGGCCAAAATGGAGTCGATTGCTCCAGTTGTGATTACCCAAGGAGTCAAGGAGCGTCATCTCTTGACGCCGTTAGGCGTAGGGGACCAGGGCCGCATCAACGACCAAGAGCCCCGTCGACCACCCAAGTTGTCTTAATAGTGGCAAGATGTATAGTTCCTAACCATCTTGTGTTGTTGATTCATCCTTCGGAATCAGCAAAGCCCCGCGACGCCTCTCCCCTTATCTTCTCTCATCCCCCCCTCCTCCCATCCCTGCCTCTGCCCACATTTTTCGTGGCCGACTCTGGAGCTCCATGGCAGGGCCTGGCGGCAGGGCGGCCCGAACGGCGGCACCGCGCCCCATTTTTGCGCACACCGCTCGCACGTTTGGTGGCCCCGTTGGGAGCTCCACCGAGCGCCCCCAGTGGCAGGGCCCGCAGGGCGGCACCGCACCCGTGCCAGAACACCTCTCCTCACGCGTTTCGTGGCCCACTGGGGGGGCACCACCGTGGGCCCCAGCGGCGCTGTGCGCATGGCGGCGCCGCGCCCGTGTCGGCACACCCATCACGCGCTCCGTGGCCGCAGGGGGAACGCCACTCTGCGCGCCCCAGCGGCAGGGGCCGCATGGTGGCATCCCACCCATTCCGACAAGCCCCCTCGGGTGTGTCGTGGTCCCACCAGGAGCTTCGCCGAAGGCCCCAGTGGCTGTTTCCGCATGGCGGCACAGCTTTATGTTTAGACGCCTTGCTTAATCCCACTAACTTTGGGGGGGCAGCCCTGAGTGGCAAGCAACACATGCCCATGTCTTGCTCCTCACGGCGACCCGTTGTGCGTGTCTCCAACGGGTAACTGCTAGACAGCCGTGGCGAATACACACAAAGCGGACACTACGCCGCGCCACTTTCTGCGTTGTTTTGTCGCAGCTACGCTTGCTGCACTTAGGTATCTGAAACTGTTTGTATACATTCATGTGCACCACTGCCTAAGCACGTTCAGTTAGCCATTGCCGCATATCTCGCCACTTGAAATGTTCTGGTGTTGAATTGCCTCCAGCTTCCGCTTGAAGCAAGCAAGTTCATACAAGATTGCACGTGTCCAGCGCGACCTGGGTCACCAGGTTGAGGGTGTGGGGGCGTTTGGCAATAGCCGCTGGGTTTTTCTGTGCGTCCGTGGCCTTTGGCTCAAGAGCTTACCCCGCCTCACGGCGGTGCAGGACTCGTGTAGTCTTTGACATTGGTCGCCTAGTGCAAAATAGTGCCTTGATTCAATTAGCGGCAGTGGCAGGGTCAGCAGAAGTGGCAGTATGAGTAGGAGTATGGGCGGGAGTAGATCTAGTGGTTGTAATCGTCGAAGTCGTAGTAGTAGCCGCAGCAGCAACATCAGTCGTAGCAGGAGGAGGGGGGGGAGGAGGAGGAGGAGGAGGAGTAGGAGCAGGAAGAGGAGGA